CTCCAGTCTGCAAAGCCTTTAATAGCACTCCCTAGAGAAATTAATTTCCTAGATAAACACTTTTTTTTTTAAAATATCACTAATTCTATTCTGGCAATTTTTGTGTTTAAGTAGAAAATAGAACTGCTACATATTCATTAGACATGGAACAACTCTAAGTGTTCTGCCACACCATTAATATTTATTTTAGTCTCTTTTTTTCTTCTCTAAGAAGCAATACAATTTTTCAAACCATCAGTTCACATTACTAAAATGGGAAAAAAAAATCCCAAAAACATGATAGGTGAAAATGAAACACACAAGGCCTTAATTCATTGAGTAATAACGTAGATAATTTAATAAAACAGGACAGGAGTCTTCTCACTGAGGTCAAAAGAATTAATCACATGCTTTAAGTTAGCTCTGTACCCATAGACTTTGCTGCCATTTCCCATCGATTGTTGGAGGGAGGATTACAGGAGCACTGCTGTCCCCCGTTACTCTCTCAATGTTTTGCTGGAGGTTATCAGGACAACAGAAAGGGACCCAGGCTCTTCCCCCAACATTCTGGTTTATTTGCACCAGCAACACGTTACACACCAGCCTATGACTGGGACAGATGAGGTGAACACACGTTTCTTTCTGCCCGTGCCACGCCGTCCTTGGGAATCCTAAGTAGTAAATGAAGAGGTTAAAGCCAGGAATGTCTCTGTGTATGCAGCAGCTGGGTGGAATTAATCACCTGGACAAGAAATCAAGAGTCTGCCAGTGCCCTTTGTGAAATTAAGAGTATAAAGTAAGAACTGTACACAAAGCAAGGCAGCACAGCAGCAGTGAGGTTTAACGCAGCCTGGATGTTATTTCACCAGAAGAGCATCTGTGCAGCAAAGATTACTGAGAATTAGTCCTGTTTTCTAAATACATTTAGTGTTTGTACACAATGTTCCATTTCCACTGGGAATTCCTACTAGGTACCTGCAGAATTTGAAACAGTTTTGTGATCTCTAGGACCACCAGCTGCAGGGAATGATTTACTGTGAACACACCACTCACAAGAGTAAGTTATGCCAAAGATTTACTGCAATTTCATATAAGCAAAACAAAACACTGCCTTTTGAAGGGCATCACAGAAAACTATCTTTTCAACTGCTGAAATGAAAATAAATGCCTTTTCTCACATCAGCACACAGTAACAATCTCTCAAGCATTTCCACATAAAAGCTTCTTAAGCTTTGAAACGGCATATTTAAGCTAATTGTTCTGTGCTAAAAGAAACAGAAAAGGCAGTAAAAATTGTGTTACTTCTCTTTACTTTTCTCCATTATAACACTTGATGTCTTTTCTTACATAATTACCAAAACTGAGTTTATCTACTTTAAAAACCTAAGAACTGAAATACGCATTTACCTTTTGCCATTCCTTTTCTACCCCCTCCTTTTAAGCTGTAAAGTCATGTTCTGAAGCCACTAAAACTAGCATGACATCTGTGAAATGATGCATTTTGTTTCTAATGCATGCACTCAGCTGCAGATTTGACTTTGAAGTACTTAATTCTGAAATATCTAAAATAATCCCATGTCCAAGGGAAACAGCACTAAAGCATTCAGAACCACATTACAAAAGGGTCATGGTAAGAAAGGGCCCAGATACACCTCACCCTTTTCAGTTCTGCTTTGTTACCAGCCTTCCTGTCCCCCAGAAACCACACAGCTTCCTTGCTCTACACTGCCCCAAGGCTCACATGTACCCAGAAAGGAATTCAGAAGACAGGATAAGAGAAGTTTTAGGATTAACTGTCTCAGACAGTAGGTAGATAAGGTAATGGGATGCAGAGAGGAAAGGACAGACACAGAGCTGTAGTCTAAAATGAAGATGTCTGGTAAGAAGGCGGCTATTTTGTGTTCATATTGCAATTTCCATTGCCTCATTTTTTGTCCTCCTCATTCCACTCCTGTTAACTTCTGGAGCAAGCCAGACAATCCCCTTTAGAGCCCAGAGTTTGAGCAGAAAATTGTTCCAGCATCCACAATACATGGAGCAATGTGACACGGAGAAGTTGGGGAGAGGCTGCAGCTTTGATTTAACCCACTTCTCGGAGCTAGAGGTGAGGAGTGATGAGGACTGAAGTCCCAGGCATTCACACCCATAACAAAAACATAAGGTGTTTCTCAGGTGTCATGCTAAGACTTCCTCTGAACCATGGCCTTGTCTTCAACACTTCCCCAAAGCAAGAACTGCAAAATATGTGTTTTCTTCTTGCAATAAAGTCCTTTTCTTCTTGAGCACTGCAACCACCCACTGCCAATTACCATCTTCCTGCTTTGTCTGTTTACACCTGTATGATCTTAGCAGCTGATGGTACAGACAGAGATGTGGCATCTCCTCACCCAGAGCAGACATAAGCATTCACATGATAAACTTCCTTGCCTCACATGCCTTTAACCACTGGTAATTTACTTAATCAGGTCTCACAAAGAAGAGAATTAAACCCATGGCTATTAGAAACAATGACTGCTTTTTAATAGAGACAATAATTTTGCCCAGGCTGGCTGAATCCATTCACTGTCTCTGTGATTTCCCTCTGGCTGTATACTGCAGTCACACCCTCACACACTCTCACTTTGCTTCTGTAAGGCCTTTTCAATTAAATTAACACCACTGCAAACTCACTCCTTGACTCTGCCAAGCAAACAGCATGACCCTACTCATTAGAGTCAGAGAGCTATTCACACAGAGTGGCAAATTCACCATCTATTAAAAAAAAATAAGGTATCCCAAAATTGGGGGAGTTATTCAAAGTTTTACTCTGCTGGCAGCAGAAATATATTATGAAGTGAAAACTACCATTTAAATAAGGAAGAAAGACAGCCAGCTAGGCAGAGACATTAAAGGGAGAAATTCTGAAGCCCTTGTCAAACTCACAGAAGCAGCAGCAGCACTGGAGCACGCAGGGCCAGGCTACGGTACCACACTTCCAGGGACTGAAGACAGTGCCCATGGACAGCGCTCATTAAAATGAGACAAGTATTTCAATCCCTGTCACGGGTATATTTTAAATGGTAAATCACAGACATGCACATTTTCTGGCCAGAGTACCATAAAATTCCTATTAACTACCATGTGCTTCAGCTGGGATCTCAGTACACTAACTCTTCTAGTAGTCTCATAAATATTGTATACACATCTTTCCTCTTTAATGTTGAGATATGATGACTGTCAGTAACCAAGGTCCAGGATCATGGGACATTTTATTCAATCAAGAAGTTTTGCTGTGGAGATAGCCCAGTTCTGAAGTCTGGTAGCTCTAGGATGAGTATGTTACCAAGAATAAGGAAGTTAAAATGAGTATTTCCCTAAGTTCCCATGGGAACACAACTGTCCATATCTGAACAATTTCAAGATACTGGGTTAAACACTTATTAAAACATATCTAAAAAGGCTATTCCTGAACTTTTCAGAGGCTTCCCAGTTTCTGTTCACCTGAACTACAGGCTCAGGGCACAGAGAACCATTAAAACACAGGAGAACTTAGGAAAAAGCATACAAGTGAGGCCCAGCACACAGGAAAAACACTGGGAACTAGCCTGAGGAGTTGGAATGTTTGAAGAGATAGCTCAAGTGTTTAGGAATGGAATGGGGGGTGACACCAGTGTTTATTGCATGATTCACAGCCTTATTGCACCCTTCACAGTGTTTTCCAAAAACTGCTGCCTGCCATGAGTTTGTCCAGTTTGTACACTCACACCTCCAGCCAAACACACCTGGCTAAAATACCTTCTGTAGTTCAACACGACTTACATGGGGAAAAGGTCGTCATCAATTCGAGATAAAGAAATTCTGCTTTAATTTCTGATGCACTGGGGAAGATGAGAGGAATTCCAGGAAAAAAGGCTAAAGCTGGTGAAGTAGTAGACTTGGCACTGCTGGGGTAATGGTCAGGCCTGAGGGTCTTAAAGTTCTTTTCCAACCTGTATGATTCTGTGTAGATTCCTGAATGTGAACAACTGCTTTCCATCTCTCTTTATGTTTTCCATACACATCAGGACTTGCAGCCTTAACCAGAACATCTTGATGTCCACAAGACGTTTTTTTTAAATTTCCATTTCATTCCTCTCCAAGTGTCTAGACTATGGAGCAAATCCCATCTTCTCAGGATCACAGATCTGTTAGCAATAATTACAACAGACCAGTTGCAAGTTAACCAGAAAGCTGATAAAGATAGAATTCTCCTTTTAAAACTAAAAATATCAGGGGCTCTTAAATGGAATAGCAAGAAAGGCTTGGTGAGCATTAAACAAACAGATGAGGTTAAGAAAGTGTTAGACACTTACAACACTGTATCCAAATGTAGCCTATTAATAGAGATTTCTCAATTGCACTGATTTTTAAAGAAACAAATCCCTGAAGATGAAAGAAGCAGACTAACAGAATTGTATCTAGTGTGTTATTTTTCAAAAATCAGGAAGATAAATAAAATGAGAACTTAATCTAGAAAACCACAGGGATAACTAGGAAAATACACATTCTGACAATAAGAGAAGCTGTGTTTCAAATTAAAGTCTTGGATCATTCAATATAAGTATACCGGAAAATGACATTTTCTGGTTTATTTGATTTGTTTAGGAAATAATCTTTCTTCTCCGTTTCTACTCTAAGTACCAGAAGACCCACCCCAAAAAGAAACAAAAATCTCCCGCTGTTACCTCACTGGACACAAGCTTTTCTCCCATCCTTGAAATCATAATTTCTTGTATTAATTACTTCATCCATATTGTACTTTAAATATGCTGCTGCTATAGTGCTCTAACATTTCAATTTGCTTGTGCTATTCTCAACATTTCCTTTAAGTTCTTTATAAGAATATACAAAAGAAGAAAACTGTTTACTGAATAAAATGAAGTCTGTCCTTCTAAACAAAACTTTCATTAATTTTGCATAGAATTCAGTTTCTTATTGTATAGAAAACAAAAATAAATCCTATAAATGTCTGGAAGGGTATACTGCAATGAGAAACTTTAGGATATTTATTTAATTTCTCAGACTGAAAGTAAGTTTGGAACCACCAATTCATGTAACACCTTTTTGTAAGATGCAGGCACAAACCAGTCATCGTCAGGGATTGTTTATACTTAAAACTATTCCCTTAGGCTGATATTTCAGACTCAACTTAAAACATTAGCACCTTCATATACTGCATTCTAGGAACATTTGACTGGAGAACAATCTGCACAGGAAAAACTATAGTAAAATGGACATATTCTGAAATGGATTTCAAGCAAGCACACCACATTCTTGCGTCCTTTAAGCTATGATGGAGTTGTCACCATGGTACTTCCAGATTTGACTACCAGCTGCAAAGAAAAAAATATATTTTTTGGAGCACATTTATCAGACATTATTGTATATAATTTTTTATTGATGAATTTGCAACAACAGCCATCTTGCACCCTGAAAGATCTTTTAAAGTCTATAAAAATTTGGCATCAGTTACAGTGTGCAAGAAGGAAAATAAACAATCAAGAAACAGTTATCTCTGGATATTTTCAGTGCACATTCTAACTCCAGGAAACAAAAGGATAATTTCTCTTATGTTCCAGTTTGTCACCTTCCCAGCAGAGACTTGTAGATTTACACAGGAGGCGAGACAATCCCAATCCAATCTTAAAACATCTCAATCATTCAGTCTTTTTCCTTGACCCAACTCATCCCCACAGATCACAGCAGTTTCACCAGGATGCTCTGTCTTCAGTTTTTTCCAAGCTGGTTCTCCCAGGAGCAGGGCTGTGCAGTGCTCCAAGGACCGAGCAATTTCATCAATTGTCCACTTGTCTTCCTGCAGGGCGTGTTCCTCCAGCGTGAACGGCCCCTGCTTGGTGCGGGTCAGCTCCTGCACTGTGGCACAGGTGGAGAGCTCTGGAGCAAAGGAGAAAAGAGGGATTGGACAAAGTGCATGGAAAAAAATTTAAAAATGTAACCACTTCCAGCTCACTTAAAATATATTTTTGTATGTAGCTTTTTACATTATTCTGCTTTGTTTGACAAGAGAGGTTGTGAAGATTTATCACTTGTTTATACCTTCTTGAATTTCACCCAAGGAAGTCCTTTGATTTCAAGAGCTGTCCAGTGTAGTAAAAAGTTCAGAATCTGACAGAAAGCTGTCAAGAATTTCCCAGATTTAGATCAGAATGAAAAGTGAGGAAATAATGTCATAATAAGATGTAAGCAGAACATTCTAAATTCTCAAGTGACCATGAACTATTTTTCCACACATTTTGAGGCCTTCAACAAGTATTTTTAACATTTTTATCCTGTGCTGCCTATCAGGATAACAGAAACTAAGATAAGGAAAAGTAAAAAATATATATACAAATGCTCTCCCATGTTAAATAAATACCAGCAAGATATAATTACATATCAAGATGCTACAAAACATGACAGCAACAAGCACTGACTTGTAAGCACATGGGTCCACTAAAATATTCTCCCTCCTCCTTTCTGATGCAGGAAGGTTTTTATTTCATTTTCAATCTTTGAAAAGAAGCCATCCATGGACAGACTTTATCTTGGTTTGTCATTAAAGGGCTAAACATAAGCCAGTATGCTCAGAAGGCAGTAACAGAAACTTGGACTTGCCTAAGCACAAATACCAACATTGAAATTCATAGGGTTATCCCACATTACTTGCCTTCCTGCAAATGTATCATTTAAAAAAAAAATTAAGTTTGAAATGGATTATCTATTCTCCATCATGCAGTTTGATAGATACAGAGCACAAGACAAATAATCCTATGGGAAAGCAAACCTATTCACAGTTCAGGCAAAGGAGAAAGAAAACACTCAAAAAATCATCACCAGCATGGAAATCTTTCCAGCATATCGGGTTTATTATGTGCATGGTAATGCTCTGTGCAATCTGTTTTCAAAATATGATGAATAATGTTTAAAAAGACAGTATTTCTTTTCTTCTCATCCTTAATCTGAGTTAGCTTTAACACAAGAAAGAGAAGCAAGAAAAGTCCCCCCCTTGCCTTGCATTATCTTGCTCAGTGCTGCTGCTTGCTCCATTTTTATCACCTGGCCCCCAAGGTCCTCTGGCAATTATTTAGCCATCATTCCCCCATGCCCCTAAGGAAATTACCTGAGTATATAAAAACAAGTGATAGCACTACAATTCTGCAAAATAACACACAGGTCTAGTTACTTGAGACATACAGAATGACAATATTTTTTCATAAGCACACACTGTTCCTTACATTGTCATGGGTTTTTTTCATGCCTACCTTTGCCAATGTCATTGACCAGGCTCCTGACATAAAAGCCACCACCACATTCAACATCTGGAATGTTAAAAGTGACATGGTAAATTGCCAGTACCACGTGAAATCTTACTTTACCTAGAAGCCATGCCCCCACATAAATGTAAAAATGCACTAAGAAAACAACCCAGTGATAAAATATTTATAGGACACAACATCAATTATTCATCCTGTAACATATGTGAGGGTGAAATTGCTAAGCTAGATAGGAGGGAAAGCAAATAAATAAAATGGCAACTGTACTAACTCACCAGAATTTCAGTACCTGTATGTTAAGAAATGATTCAGTCCTATTCATTTTAAGCATTTCAGGTTGATTCATATTTCTAATGATGAAAGCAAGTTATTTCAAGTATAGCCTAAACTGACTATCAATGCTTTTCAGGTACTGCAGACAGGCAGCTCCATTAAAATTTTAAAATTAATCTTTAACTTTTCCTGCTCTCTCAGCCCTTCCCTTCCCCCTCTGCCAGTGATCAGCTACTTGTCACCCAACCATAAAGTAAGGGCTGAAGCCACACAGCACTGAGTTCTGTCACTTGTACCTGCTCATCATAAAACATCTGGTCCATCACAGGACTGGGGATCAACTGGGCAGACAGATCAAGACAGATGCAAGGCATCATCCTGACCTTACAGTAGCATTAAACATTTACAAGAGTCTCTTTTGGTTTATTTATTAATATGCTTCTTAATGTACTACCCAAGTTTCTTGATGAATGACAAGATGGAAGGATAAGATCCTGCCTCCTCAACAAGAAAAAGGGGTCTGACAGTAGCTGAAACTGGTCCTGGGAGTGATGCCAGCAGGTCTGGGCATCTGTGTGAAAGACTGGTAAAGTGAAGTAAGCAGACCTGAGAGAGGAATGAGCTGGAGGTTGCAAAATCATGGACAGATGCAAATAATCCCCTGACCACTCTCAGAATTTTCCCTCACTGAGAGATTAGATATAATCAGCTTAACTTAAAACCAAAATACGGTGCTTTTAATACAAAGTGAAAGTCTCTGCACATGGGCTCAAACAAAAGTAAGTAGCTGAGTGAAATGAAATCCATTTCACTCTCTTAGTCCCATTCTGAGTGTAAATAAACATTAACAAGCTGGGAGCATTGCTCTATGTAATAATCTTTGACCTTTACCCAGCGTGAACAGTGGTGGCTGGAACTGCTGGAGAGAAAGGCTGTACACTCTCACTGGCCGAGCAGGTTTTGCTTCCACTGCTTCCCCTCTCTTCATCAGAGTTGAAAGCCTTTCTCCATCCTTCTTCAAAGCAGAATAGCTGATCAGACAGAGCATGAAAATGCGTGTCATACGGCTGTAACAGAACAGGCTTCCCATTCTCCGGATCCTGGTAACATTGTACTAGGGTAGCAAACATTTTACTACTCTCAAAGTATTCACAAAACCCCACAAAAACCCTGCAAGTGCTGCTGAAAACACTTGGACACAGAATCATCCCATTTACAAGAAGCTACATAAACCAGAAAACAAGAGATGGCCCTGCATTTCTCTCTTGCTGTACCGATTTCAAAGCATTTTATCACTCACTTTGCAGTTTATGAATAAAAGGGTTTCTATAAGAGTTACAACACTTGCAGCTGCCTCTAACATCCCGTGTCTCAGAAGTCAGCAGGGCATCCTCTGTTTCAGTGTTATGTTGAGCTGTGAGCCACTCAGGCAACTCCTGTAATTCTACATTGCACCTTTCGTTGTCCCACACCAGGGGCTTTCCCCAACAGCAGCTGCCATGTTCTAGAATGTTTAGTGAACCACTACAGAACCACAGAAACTGTCTTCACTGATTACATGGAACCAAAGCTCCAACTCTGGTCACAACAGAAAGATGACCCTAGAAAAATCCAAAAGGATCTTGCTCACAATATTATAGGGCAATTTGAAACACGTCACATGAAGCAGAACACGTGGGGCATTACTGACCTTACAGGGCTCACACTGGAACCACAGTAAGTGACACATGGCAAATGCAAAGGAAAGCAGGTTAGCTTAAATCACCATAAAAGCCATCTGTCACAAGCTAAGTCATGCACACTGCCAGCTACTATGGCTCACCTGACCAGAAGAAATTTGCTAAGCTACAGAAGCTCAGTCATTATTCACTCATTCATACTCTAAGTTTTCAAAAAACTGATTCAAAGTCATTTAAGGCTCTTCCACAGAAATGTCAGTAAGATTGGAATACGTAAGACAAGTCCTGCAAAGCTGTTCAAGACTTTTTTTACTTTACCCAAAACACCCACAGACTCCAGGTCACCATTTGTGCTGGATCTTCAAATGGGCATGACCTGCACTTGCAAATGTTAAACTCCTGACTGCCTGGCCTCTATCCTCTTGTCAAAATGTGTCTTAATACTTCTGAGAGAACTGACTTCTGTTGGCAAGTCCTGACAGCTGAACACAACTGTCAAGAGTGTCTGAATATCATGGATCTTACAGTGGGGGAACTTGCATGATGTCCCCTGTGAACTTTTGCAGAACATTTTCAAGATCTCCTTTTGTTACTTGGTCTGTGGAAAGAAAACAGTATGTTAGTATTGATTATTCACATGGCACTAATGGCATCAATCACATTCTGCAAGCAGATACGAGTTCTCTCTCTTCTGAATTTAGATGGGGTGAAAAACACCAAAGCAAAGAGATAAAAACCAGATTGTAAGCAGGAATGTGAATTACCACAAAGTGGAACAAACTGTCCAAGGTGATCAGGGCAATCTGGATACTTTCAGAAGGGCAGAAATCCTCCTTAATGTTTTCTTTTGTAATTCCCCTCTTTTGAGGCTGCAAATTCATCTTTCTTGGAAACTATATAAAAGCTACAACATTTGGAATGTTCTTATTTTTTTAAAAGAAGCACAAAAAAGAATAAAATGCTCATCTAACCCTGGGAACTTCTCTCTAAGAGAACCTAACTGCAGGGAAAAATACAACAGATTATTAGAGAACAAAACCACTGGTGTAGAAAAAGACTTTATCTGAAACAACACATCAAAATTTCCCTGTCAAACAACTAACCTGCAAATGTACTCTGGGGTATAGTTATATATTAAGTAAGGCAATTTTACTAACAAAATTCTGTAAAAGAAAGACAGCTGGTTTAGGCAATGTACTTTCTTTTAAGAGTACACATAGACATCTGTCCCACTTTTATTGAAGGCTATAAGCTAAGTAGCTGATTGCACTGGTCTTCTGAAGCTCTATTCAACAGAGATGACATTCATCCCTAATTTGTTTAGAGAGTGCAAACATAAGATCTGTAATCACAATGTACTTCAGTGCATTTCTACTGTCTAGGGTTTGACTAGCCCTGTTTCTCATAAGTTATATTTAATTAGTGTCATGCCTGCTAAATCAACAGCATTCTAGAACACAAACCAATCAAATTTATTTATCGAGCCTTTGCTGTATTTTGAAACAGACCTTTACTTGCAAACCGTAAAAGCCAGATGTAGTTCATGCTGTAAGTAAAAAAGATGAGATTTCTTTTCACAGCAGCTCTGGGAGATGATCCTGTGGTTCCTCACTTCTATAAAACAATCTTTGCAGCCTCAAGAGTAGATGCTCTCCCTAGGCCCAAGCAGCTGTCCCAAGATGTGTCATTAACAGCAAGGTTGCAAGGCACAAAACTCCGAGATGCTGAGAGAGACTAATTTACATCAGAATACAGGCTAGGAACAACAAACTCAATTGTACAGTACCTCTGAATCTTCTGAGGAGTTTCTTACACAGTTATTTCAATCTTATTTCTATTTAGCAACATATCACAACAATGGCTGGAAAGTCAGCATGACCTGGCTCCATGACAGTGATCCTGCCAGCCTTCTTGTGAACCCCAGGCTGCTTCAGGTTAAAATTCAGTATTTAAGATGTGCTCCTTGGAATTCTCCTTCCAATCTTCACTCCATGAACTGCATTTGTGACCAGGTATTTAATGAGACACCTGGCTCTGACCTCATATACCCTTGACTGAGATGTTACATGTGGCCTCTGAGGAAGTCACTCATGATACAGGCAACCTCTGTCTTAGGAGCAAAAAATCCCCATGTGAAGACTGATGCATTAAGCCATTAACAAACCAGAGTTGTGTTGTGTGTTATCAAAGTAAATATTTACAGAAGTGTTTGCTAAGATCTGGTGTGCTTTTGAGCACTGTTAACTACTGACTGATTTTCCTGCTACAAAGGAAGGAAAATAAAGTTACCAAACCAAAAGGTGCCAGTTGTGCCACAACCTCAAAAAGCCTTCATTGAAGGGTGATTCTACCCTGTGCTTGTTAACAAACTACTCCAAACAGGAATTATCCATGACAGTGTACCAGAAGTTCAGCAAATGACCTCAATTCAGTCTGACGCAGCACAAATTATTTGAAAACAGACACGCAGAAAGGACTACACTTTCCAAATTATTCAGACAGCTCTATTAAACATATATTTCAGCATAATCATCAGAGACCTGAGAAATGCCTCATTAATTTTGTTCTCCATGTCTGGATATAGCCTGTAGGCAGCTGGAAGGAAGCGGGTTTCAGAATACACAGTTACAAATATTAAAAAAGGGCTACTAACATTAATGTGCTCAAAAAAGCATCAGAGGAATACTAAATGCTACTTGCTTCCAAAGTCAGCATCTGACAGCCTGGCAGCAGTATGAAACCATAATTTAATTTCATGTGGAAATGCAAACTCATTGTACAGTAAGAAAAAAAAGCTTCAAGAAGTTCAGAAGGACTTAAAAGCAAGGAGCTCTCTTCAGTGCATCCTGACACTGTAACTAACTGTACAGTTTGCTTCCTAAGATGCTGTCTAGGGACACTGTGAGGACTAAAATGTAACACTTTGTTAGAGTTAATACAGCTGGCAACTTTCTGCAGGCACTTTCCTCTTAAGTTCCAATGAAGTCACACAAGAAGAGTTTTACACATCTTGCAAACTGGTTTAGTGCCCTTTCTCTGCACTAAGGCCCAATCCTGGATGATGCTGGCACTACAGGATTGATACTACCTTGTTCTGCTTCACCAAGGATCCTTGTAAGTGTCAAAAGAATACTGAAATTGAACTCAAACATCTGGTTTGCCTTTTCTTGGAGTACCTATTAAGGTCAGAAATTAGGGATGGTGGGCCAAATAGAGTATGGAAAGAAGAAGAAAACCAAGCTGTTTTGGAGAAGATACTGGAAAAGATGAGAAATACAAAACATGCTGGTATCATGGAGAGCAAAAAAAGGAGTATCTGTGCTCTTTTCTTTCTGAAGAAATCACATCTGACTGATTTGCAGCAACATGGAAAGCAACTGAGACCGATGCCATGAGCATTTCTTTCAGCCATTACTTTTGGCAAAAGGAAACGCCCCCCCCAAACTGCACTGCCCCAGCAAAGGCAATGCTGCTCGTCAAGAGCCCATGTGATGAACTGGATCATGCAACTGATCTCAGTTTAAAATTACAAGCAACTCAAAAAAAGGAGGTATTTTAAAGCCAAATCAGTTCCCCAAACACACAGTCTAACAGAAAGGTAAACCACCGTAATAGATGTGGTGCAGAGGTGGGAACTGCTGTAGCAGGAGCTGCCAGGGAGAGAAAGACACACAAAAACAATACTCTAAATCCTGTCTGCAGTAAAGAATACAAAATGAAAAAAGTAAAACCAGTGTTTCAAAAATGGATTTTAATTTTTTTTAATTAACTAACCATGGAAGTTGCATCTATTTGAAATGGTATCATTTGAATCAGCTCATATGTGATCCAGCATCTCTGAATACTCCTTAGTGCAGCATGACCACAAAATTCCACTTTGAGAGGTACAGATAAATACCAAGAAAGTGAATCATCACTTCATTCAACCATCATGAAGTATTGGCAACTCTAACACCATGTGGATCCTCAGGCCTCCAGAAGCTTAGAGACTCATAACTTGATCCTGAAGCATAAATAAATGATCCAACATCTCTGGATAACATCGCCTAGTAAATAACACTATTTAGAATGTGGAAAAGAAACTCATGCTTGCCTGCCTCATGAGAAAAGGAAAACTGCAAAAGAAAGGAGATTGGGAGTGAAATCCAGGCTTTTTCATCATGCCATTAAAAAAACATTATTTGCTTCATGTATCTATTACCAGGTACAAAGAATGTCAGACCTGTAGAGTTGCTAAGCAACTGGTTACCTATTATTTTTTAATTTTTTTTTCCCCAAGGTTGTGAAAAAACTAATAACCAATACAATTTCTGTGTTACTATATTGTTTCTAAGATGCCCAGCAAAACCACAGCCAGGATGAGTTCTGAAGCTTTAAACCCTTGTACTGTGCTCTGTCAGTCAGAAAATTTCATTTATTAAAGATGCAAGCAAGACCAAGATCTGGAAGATAGCCATACGTAGAAAGTAGTTTATGCTATCCTCATTAAATGTTAAGCAGTCTGTAGGTGAAGTGGTGTCCTAGAGGAAAGATCCAAATACTTTATTCTTCCACTGGCCTTATAGAGTTTTACTAAGAGAGGACTCCTGGGACTATACTCTGAGAGAGGAAAATGTTACTGGACACAGCATGTCATTTGTCAGCCTGTCAAAGATTTAAAATGACACAGTCCTGCCCAATTCTATTTCCTCCCTCCTAATCTGATGCCTGGTTTGTTTTTTTCCAGCAGAAATGAACACTTGCATTGGACATAATTGCATGAAGCTGGTTTGAATTATATGAGCAGTGAAGTTGAAGATGAAATAATCTTAGTTTAATTTCACATTTAAACTTAATTCAGAGTCCCAAACATCTCTTCCACTCTCCTATGACAGAGACCACTTAAGCCTTCAAATTACATCAAGTGTGCAGCTACATTAATGCTTACCATAAGGTTTTTCTTCAGTTACTTTTCCTGTAGCATCTAATGTATCAGTAGCCTTGCCCAGCATTCCAATGGCAGTGTACTTCTGGGAAGGAATAAGAGAGATTAGTGAGTCAGGTCTTTGAGGTTGTTGCTTAGGTTTTTATTTTCTTTTTTCTTATTTTTTTAAGATAAATACTGCAACTGCCAATTAATTTAAATCAGAACAGGAATAATACTGCCTAAGTGGTCAATCCAGCAACTTAGGGTAAGAAAAAGTCAAAATAAAAAGACGCAGAATCAAACAAAAAGTAAATCCTGTATTACATGTGCCTGTGATTTTGGTTTTAGAAACCCAAGGAAGAAGCAACATGGAACCTAATTTTCACTATAAATACATCAATACCATAAAGAAAATAATAGGGTAGTAACATCAAAGTCTCTGTGGGGTGTCATATGTCACAGTTGAAGCAAGGCACAGAGGAGTACCTTTCACAGACAATTTTTCTGTTCCTTTGCACATTAAAAAAAAAAAAAAAAAAAAAGACACAAAGACCTTCACTTGTGAAAGCAAAACCACCCACTGCCAAGACAAAGCATTACAATGGTTCTGCCATGAAATGCAGGGATATGCAATAGCCTGAAGCTGCAGTTTTGAACTCCTGGGATGTGGTAAGGACCTTGTGACCAGCACAAGGAGTTCAAGGTCACTGAGTAACATCTCTGTTCATAGTGAGTTCTCTGAATATTTGTTTCAGGGTTTTTCAGGGTTCTGCTCTAAAAAATTCTTCAGTGTGTATATCAGTAGTTTGTAAGAAGGAATCAACCTGACCCCAGGACAGCAGCTCCTGTCCTTCCTGCATTTCACCTGATGCCCTCCTTTACCATGTTTTCATCCAGAGAACTGCCATACTCTGAGCATACAGCACAACCTGCTGAAGCTGACAGAGTCTTCTCTGAACCAGCTGCTCCATACCTTGTCACAAGGCTGTCAACACACCAAAGCTCACTCTGTAATCTGAGTCTGAGTCAAGTTCAGGGATAAGGTATTACATGGATGGTCTGACCCACTGCCTATCCCATTCTATTCCCCTCAGCCTCCCTATGATAAATCCAGAGAGTGTGGGGGAGAAAAATCAAAGTGCGTTCCACTATTTCCCAGTAAGGTTCCAGTGAACTTACAGCTGAACTAATACTGATCTGAGGATGTATTTTTTAGAAGCTGGCTGACCAAACTCCTCTGGAAAACATCCAAACAGGCATAAGCACTAGCATTTTACTCTGAGATGCAATGCATCCTGCTTCATGTACTTGCAAAGTACAAACAAGCTCAAGTAATAACAGTGCAGGCATATAAATCACACCCACACCACTGGGCTAGTAAGACATGCCTTGATTTTGTTCCATGTGACAATCTGCCACTTCGATGTATTTCTTCAAGCAACTGCTGCAAGATGGAAGCAGCAGAAATAGTCAGACAAAAGGCAGCAGAGTGTAGACTTTAACATAAAAATAAATGTATTCTTTGCTTACTTCATGTGCTGGGTTGGGCTGGTAATACAGAGAATTTTCTTCATAGTAGCTGGTATGAGACTATGCTTTGGATTTATGCCAAAAACAGTGTTGATAACACAGATGTTCCCATTACACTTATTAAACTGCCTTTATCACAACCCACGAGTTTTCCCTTTTTTCTGATTCTGTCCCCATCCCACTCCAAGGAGTGAGCAAACAGCTGTGTGATGTTTTAGCTGCCAGCCAGGTTCAACCACACCATCACATTAGGGCTACATTTTTCCAAAATATTGCAAATGTCTGGTAACTCTGCAAAATTAGGCATTTTAAAATAAAATTTTTCAAGTTTACACACTTCTGGAATACATGAAAAAAGAAATGTAAGAAAGAATGGATGAATGCTGCTCCACAACAAATATTTAAATAAACTTTAAGGTCTATTATCTTTTACTACTATATTAGCTGTTAGGACCATAAAACTGACTGCTTTCTGAGATATTTAATGATCTGGTTCTGAGCATTTAATAGCATTGCCAGAAAGACACTATTTAGCACCTATCCTAGAGGAGATCATTATCCTAAGCATGATGAATGATCTTAGCAGTTCAGTAAAATTTTAAATCTGAAAATTTGAAAACTCACACTCTGTCTTCTGATGTTTCCAAATCAAAATACTCATACTACTCCAATCTAAATTACTTCCTTTCCTTTAATTCTGCTTTTGGTTATCTTGCTTTAGGCTGTCTCTTACAGTAACATGTTGTATTTGACCTGCCAGCAATAGACAGAAAATGTCTCATCTGTTAATATGTAAACACAAACTGCATGAACAATACAGTCCAGATCTCAGTACTTCCCCTTTGATTTCTGCAGAAAGAGCAAAAGGGGAGCAAAACTGCAAACAGTTAGTAAAAAGAACATCCTTAAACATTAGTCACAAATCCCCATTCCTTACAGGAGCCTTTAAAGGGTCACAATATACTCAAGCTAGCAATGCAATAATCTACAAAGAAGGCTGTAACAGGTCAGGAAATTAAGAATTACTGTTGGTTTATGATCAGCCTCTGGAGTGCCCTTGGCTATCTACAATTATATATCATAATTCTTGCTTGCCACTGGATAAGGTTTACATCTTCCCCTTTGGTAGAGTGCAGAACCTGGAGGTTGCAGAAGATATTATGAGAGTCCAGAATTACTTGTGTCAAAATTCAGCATTAACGCTCTTTAGACTCTCACTCACACTGCCCCCAGAAGCACCCAATAGATTCTGAGTCATTTAATAAGTGTTCAGTGACCTTTTCTCACCTGTGTTGGCAATCATTTACTTCTTCCAGTTTTATGAAATACATCTAGGGGCATTCTCTCTGTACTCCCAAATTACAAATCACTGCAGAAACACAGACAGAAACTGCTCACAACACTCTGCCTTCAACCCACTCAACCCGAAACAAAAAAAGCAAGGTAGTAGGTGTTGCAGGCAGAGGCAAAGCCTGACAAGAGCAGACTGTGACAGAAAGTGTCCCTACACTGCAGCTCCTCAGAGAACACCCTGCCACTCAACAGCCCCTACCTACATCCTTGTCCTCTACTCATCTCAAGAGACCAGGGCCCAAATAATTTAAAGATTAAAAGCAGCACCTCAACTTCCCTATGGGATTGCACAACATGCAAGTGCAGCACATTAAAAGCTGAGATTAAGCATTCCCAGTCATGACTTGCAAGTGCTGCAGCATCGTGCATTAATTCCAACACAGAATGGGTCCCACAGCAGAGCCTCACAACCGTGCAACAGTACCCTGAGGACAAACAGACCTTTCCAAAACTATCCTGTGCTAGGGAATGGCTGTCTCTCAGCCAGTCAGAAAACCATTTCCTTGAAAAGAAGAAAACCATTATGGCAAGTGAAACAAAAGGCAGTGAAGTGAGCAGAAGCTCTTGACAGCCCCACCATTCACAGCAGTGAGAAGACAGCCTTAAGAAGATACTTTACAGAGACAATCCACTGCCCTCCTTCAATGATAATGCACAAACTCTGTAGCACAGACTGGGGGATGTGCTGGATGCAGCCCCAAAAAGACCAGATACACAATGAAATGCTTGGGTGGTTGTGCACCATACCCATGACAAGAAAGAAACACCCCATAAAAAGCCAGCACTGGATAAAAAATAGGATTACAAGAATCTGTAAGAAACAAATTACAAAACTCTAATAAATCTCACAGGTCTTGGGAAGAGGAATTTTGTTTTAGTGTCACAACCACAGGGCACAGTCAACATTCTCACAAATAATAAACCATATGTTTTCAATATTTTTAATAAGAGAGCAGCTATAATTTGTTTTTTTTATTTTCATACCCAGTTTCAGAGAAGTCCTTAGACTAACACAGAATGAGAAAGAATATCCATAAAAAGAGAGAGAATGAAGGCAAGATTTTATCAGCATACATATTTAACTGGGAAAGGGAGAAGAGGAGGAGAAGGAGGAAGAATCCCCTCCCACTTCAGGGGCTGCACAGCACAGCTGCACAACCCCACCCGGGGGGGCTCTGGGAGGCTGAAGCCCCTGGGCTGACTGCCAGGCATGTCTGCCCCACTGATCAGTGCAAATGCCAGACAGACCAGGCAACACAGCTTCTCAGTTTTAACTGTTGAGACATTAAGGTTTTATTTGGAAAGAAGCCAGAGACTTGAAATCTTAAATTATAACACGTTTTAAAAGCTTTTTCATACATGGAGAAGCAACACTTTAAAAGAGCTAGACAGAAACACAAGTAATTACGAAACAAGGTCACCAGTAGCTGTCAGGAAGATTTTAAGATGGCTCCCACTACAAGAATTTCCCAGGCAAGCAAGCTCTCTGGAAGAGGCAGTTCACAAGAGTTCATCCAAGGATGACCCATTTTCTCATCACAGCAGCAACTGAACACAGAAGTGTAAAAGGAAAATAAATAAATTAAGGCTACAATCCCCTGTGCAAGAGACTGAAAGCTGGAAAAGGGAAGTCATATTAAAGAGAAACAGAAATTCAGTTTATGTAAAGTGATGTCTGCATGTGGCTAACAAGTTTGAACATAAACAAACATAAAACAAGTGCTCCAGAGAACCTGATGGAAATCAGGGGGAGCATACAGCAGGCAAGCACTGATCAGAATTAGTGCTCCTGTGCCAAAACCATTTGCTCTGCACTCACAGACTTGTAGACTTAGGCCACAGAGATAGTGAAGAGGCCTTAAACTCCCAGCTTTGTAATAATATTCAGCTTGTGTTCAATGATTTCTAAAGCACAAATAACCAGTTCTGGATTTAATATTTACAGAACTTATTTTGTTGTTTGTATAACATTAGCATCTACCAGTGGTTTCCAGTATGCTAATCATCCACCAAAACGGAGAGGTCCATGAGGTAGACAAATAAGCTGGAAAAAACCCCAAGGGTTGCCATAGTTTCAATTATTTTCCAAAACAAAGCACTCTCACTAAGCAGATTCCAATATATTAAAAGCACAGAGCCCTAATCTCTTAAAAGCAGGTTGCAGAGGGCAAAATAAAGACTACAGGATGAGGGAGGAGTTTCATGTTTTACAATAGAGCA